ATCCATATATAGATCTCTATAGGCCCATAACGATCCCTATAGGCTCATATAGATCCACGCAGACCCCTATAGATCCATGCAGACCCATATGCAGACCCATAACGATCCCTATAGATCCATATATAGATCCCTATAGGCCCATAATGATCCCTATAGGCCCATACAGATCCATGCAGATCCCTATAGGTCCATACAGACCCATATCAATCCCTATAGATCCATACATAGATCCTTATAGACCCATATAGACCCCTATAGACCCATACAGATCCCTATAGACCCATATATAGACCCATAACGATCCCTATAGATCCATATATAGATCTCTATAGGCCCATAACAATCCCTATAGGCCCATAACAATCCATGCAGACCCCTATAGATCCATACAGACCCATATGAGGACCCATAACGATCCCTATAGATCCATACATAGATCCCTATAGGCCCCTATAGATCCCTATAGGCCCCTGTAGATCCCTATAGATCCCTACAGACCCATATCAATCCCTATAGATCCATATATAGATCCTTATAGACCCATATAGATCCCTATAGACCCATACAGACCCATATATAGACCCATAACGATCCCTATAGATCCATATATAGATCCCTATAGGCCCATACAGATCCATACAGACCCATATCAATCCCTATAGATCCATACATAGATCCTTATAGACCCATATAGAGCCCTATAGACCCATATAGATCCCTATAGATCCATATATAGATCCTTATAGACCCATATAGATCCCTATAGATCCATACAGAGCCATATGCAGACGCATAACGATCCCTATAGATCCATATATAGATCCTTACAGACCCACAGAGATCCCTATAAGCCCATACAAAGACCCATATAGATCCATAACGATCCCCATAGATCCCTACAGATCCCTATAGCACCGCACTCAGCACGGGGCCGGGTCCCCACAGCGCAGCAGCACCACAGAAAAGGGGCATTTGGGGGCTTTTTTCGGGTTTCATTCTGCGTTTTATTCCAGAAAAGGGAAATCCTCCACCGGGCGCCGCCTGCCACCCCCGCTCCTCCCAAAAATCGGCCGGAAAGGAGGGAAAAGCACCCAAAAAAGAGACGAAAAGGGGGGGAAAAGCACCCAAAAAAGGGAGAAAAACCCCAAACAGAGATGAAAAAAGAGGGGAAATCATCAAAGTAAAGATGAAAAAGGGCAAAACCCCCTAAAAGAAAGTGGAATTAGTGGGAAAACCCTAAAATAAAGATGAAATGGGGGGGGGAAAACCTATGTAAAGATGAAATAAGGTGGGGAAAACTCAAAATAAAGCTGAAAATGGAGGGGAAAAACCCTAAATAAAGATGAAATAGGGGGAAAAACCCCTAAAATAAAGCAAAAAATGGATTAAAATAGCCCCAAAAAGCCAAAACTGGATACAAATACTCCAAAATAAAACTGGAAATGGATTAAAATACTTCAGAAAAGCTGAAAATTGATCCAAATACCCCAAATAAAGGTGAAAACGGAGGAAAAAACCCTAAATAAAGATGAAAATGGATCAAAATACCCCAAATAAAGTGGAAAAGGGATTAAAATACCCCAAAATAAAGCTGAAATTGGAGGAAAAACCCAAAATAAAGCTAAAAATGGAGGAAAAAAACCCCAAATATGGAGGGAAAAAACCCAAATGTGGAGGGAAAAACCCAAATATGGAGGGGAAATACCCAAGTATGGAAGAAAAACCCCAAAATATGGAGAAAACCCCCTCAAAAAAGCTGAAAATGGAAGAAAAAACCCCAAATATGGAGGAAAAACCCCAAATATGGAGGAAAAAACCCAAATATGAAGGGAAAATACCCAAATATGGAGGAAAAAAAACCCCAAATATGGAGAAAACCCCCTCAAAAAAGCTGAAAATGGAAGAAAAAAAACCCCAAATATGGAGGAAAAAACCCCAAATACGGAGGGAAAAACCCCAAATATGGAGGAAAAAACCCAAATATGAAGGGAAAATACCCAAATATGGAGGAAACCCCCTCAAAAAAAGCCGAAAACGGAGGGAAAAACCCCAAATATGGAGGAAAAAACCCAAATATGAAGGGAAAATACCCAAATATGGAGGAAACCCCCTCAAAAAAAGCCGAAAACGGAGGGAAAAACCCGGAGGGAAAAACCCCAAATATGGAGGAAAAAACCCAAATATGAAGGGAAAATACCCAAATATGGAGGAAACCCCCTCAAAAAAAGCCGAAAACGGAGGGAAAAACCCCAAATATGGAGGAAAAAACCCAAATATGAAGGGAAAATACCCAAATATGGAGGAAACCCCCTCAAAAAAAGCCGAAAACGGAGGGAAAAACCCCAAATATGGAGGAAAAAACCCAAATATGAAGGGAAAATACCCAAATATGGAGGAAACCCCCTCAAAAAAAGCCGAAAACGGAGGGAAAAACCCCAAATATGGAGGAAAAAACCCAAATATGAAGGGAAAATACCCAAATATGGAGGAAACCCCCTCAAAAAAAGCCGAAAATGGAGGGAAAAAACCCCAAATATGGAGGCAAAAGAACCCAAAGATGAAGGAAACCCCCCCGAAAAAAGCCGAAAAGGGAGGAGAAGAACCCCAAAACCAGAGGCAAACCCCCCCCAAACCTCCCTCCCCCTCCTCCGTTAACTCCAAGTGGGGTCGTAGCCCGCCCAGTCCCGGGGGGGCGCCAGGTAAACCCTGCGTCCCCGGTAGACGAAGCTGACGACCCCGCGGTAACCGGCGCGGGGGACCCCGGATTTGAGGTCGTCCATGAGCCCCAGGGCTTTGGCGAAAGCTTTGAAAGCGTCGCGACCCCGGTACTGGAGCCTGACGGCTCCCAAATGTTGGCGACGATTCCCCTGCAGCTCTTCCACCCTCACCTCGGGGGCGGCGTAAACCTGGGCGAGGAAAGAGCGCTCGTAGGGTTCTTTCCGGAGGTACGAGAGATCCAGTTGGGTAAAAGGCACGAAGCGGTCGTTAAGTTTGATGAATTTTAAATACTGGTCGAAAAATTGCCCGTGGCTGACCCCTTTCCGACCGAACGTGGCCGTACGGGAGATTTCGGGACGGACGCAAGCGCGGTCACGACGTTGTTCGGGTTGCCTCATCCAATCGTCCCAAAAAGCTCGTGGCCATTTGGGTTCTAATTCATCCCAAAGCTCGGCTAAAAGCAACCAACCTAAACCAGGGAAGAAATCGGTGCGGTAAAGCAAATCGGGTCTCCCGACGTCCACCATCTGCTCCTTGCCGTTGTCGTTCCAAGCCGAAACGCACCACAACGTTGGGTCGTCGCGGAGTAGGGGGAAAGCGGCTTGGAAATACTCGAAAAAATCGGGAGCAACATCTAAATCGTCCTCCACGACGATGACGGCTCGGTACCGGAAAACCCTAAAGATTTGCCCCAGAGCCCAACGGTAATGCCGGGCGATTTTGTAATAACCTTGAAATTTCCGATGTTCGGGAGGGACGGGGACGTCGGCCAGGTCCGGTTGTCGGATGTGGGAGACGGCGTCGCCGTAGGCGCCGATGAGGCGGGCGGTTTCGGCGTGACCGCAATCTTGGCTGACGATGACGGGGAAGCGTTGGGCTGAGGGGCGGTAACGTAAAATGCGGTCCAGGCAGCGGCGGACGCCGCTTCGGTCGCAGGCCAAGACGAGGACGGGTAAAACCCAAGGGTCTTGGTTCGGTGGGGTGGAAATTTGAGGCGGCGGGGAAGGTTTCTGGG